AAGTGCCTCATTTAGAGCCTGATTCCCAAGTAAGTATGGAAATTTTAAATGAATACTCTGAGATCATGTAAAAGTTGCCAGTTTCCCAGCTTGCTAGCTGGGTCCTCACCTGGGTCAGACTTGAGCAGAAGATGTATGCTGCTGTTTGCTCTACAAAGAAAGTAATACTGTGTTTCAAATGCTAGAGTCTAGCTAAGTAGATCTGATTTTGACCATGGGCTAGTTTTAATATCATTCTGAAGTGTGTGAAAGTGGGCTTTTTGAGGTTCAGTGATTTGTGGAAGAGATCTCTTCTAAGATTGCTTCCTCATCACAGAGTTTTCTGATACCTGAGCATGGCTTTTCTAAGGACAGAGGGAAAAACATGTGCCACTCAATCCACGGGGCTACCAATCCGTCCATGACCTTTGAGGTGGAAGGGTTTTAGGGTATATCAGCATCTTCTTCTTCCTTACACTTCAACCTGACAGGCGGTTGGCTGCCAGATTTAACCCATTGGTGATCTGTTGCAAATGAAATCATTGAGCTTCAAGCAGGGCTGCATGGAGCAAGCCTTGTTTGATCTTCAAGCATATTGACCTTTGTACCATGGATTACTCAGGAAGATCATAGAGTGAACTTAATACTCACCTAGGAGTTGGCCTTTCACTTATTGTAGTGCTTTTAGCTTCATCTCTTGTATTGAAATATATTGATAGCATTTCTGATTTAAGTACCATGAAATACAAGCAACACAAGGGTAGTACCACATTGGTGGTCAGTCTTAAGCATAGTATAGGCCTCCATTGACTCTTTTAGGTGAAGAGGTTGTGCTGAAATGGCATCCATCCTGCCATCTGCCTAGAAGACCAATCTCTAGAGAAGAGTTCTTGGTAGAGTGTTGAGAGAGGAGGGCTTGAGGCATAACCTGGAAGGATCATTTGGGGATTTATAGGCCTGAACCAGCAGTCACAGGAACGTTTGTCACTTGAACCCTGGATTTGAGATCACCTCTAGTGGATGCTGTACATAGGAGGGAGACTCATTTGGCACTGGATGTACTGGAGGTGGCCCAGGGTATAGAACGTAATGATAATAGGGTAGCTGGGGGTAAGTGATGAGGTTCCAGACGGTGGGAATCAAGCTGAGAACGGCAGAGGAGGCCAGCAGGATACTTAGGAATTACTGTTTACTTCTCAGCAAAATAGCTGGCCACTCATGCTAGTGCACACCTGTATGTAATCCCAGTACTCCAGAGGCTGAGGCCAAGGGTCCTGATTATAGCCCAACCTGGACTACATAGTAGCAAAACTGTCTCAGGAGAGAACAGAACAAAACAAAATAAAACAAACAACCCTCCAAAAACCAAAACAATGACACAATTACAATTGTTACATCTAAAGAAACCTGTACTAATTTTTCAATATCAGCAAATACCTAGTGAGATGTTCATATTTTGATTACTTTACAATATGTATTTATTGTATTTATACAATATATTTGAAATAAGATCAAAACAATATTTGTACATTATAATTGTTTCTGTATCTCTTCAGCTCATGAATTAGGCTTGTGTTCCATCTCAGGTTTTTCCCTCTCAAATCTGTAGAAAGAACTGAATATTTTGACTATAGAATTTATTGTAGACTTCTCTGTCCCTGTCTTCCGTATACTCTGAAACCTGGTAGTTGGATCTAGAAGCTTGGTCAGATGGCAGTGGGCCTAAGACATACATAAAGCAGCATTACGTGTACTATGGTGCTATAACATGTTATGTATTTAAGTAAATAAAGATCACCTTGTGGTTTACTTTTCTTTTAATCATACACAGTAGTCTCTTCAGATCTTGAATATAGTTGGACGTGTTTTGACAAACGCACACACCTGTGGTAACCAACCCCAGCACTTTGTCGTTCCCCTCAAAGTTCCCTCACATCTCTACAATCTGTCCTCGCCCCAGAATCAACCAGTGCTCTGATTGTCATACTTATAGTTACTCGTCTTGAACTTCAAAGATGAATGAATGAGTAGATGGAAACATATATTTTGACCTTGTGTGTATTTTGAAGTTGTAAACCTGTTTGTTGAGTTGCTGCTAGAAATACAAACATGATCGGCAGGAGTGACAACAGGGGTGTGGATCAGCTTTTGAGCACTCGCAGAGGCAGAGGGAGCAGATAGCTGTAGGATGCCCAGCCCTGGGAGACAGGAGAGGGAGAGCCTGCCTGGAGCTGTGCGCATGCCCTGTGAGCAACCCTGGTTCTGTGAGTGCAGAGGCAGCCGTCCTGGCTCTGTGCTTTTCTCCTCCTGCAGTAAGCCCACAAGCTGCCCTTCCGCTCTTCTGCCCGTTTATCACTTTCTTGCATGCGTACAGGATTTCCTCATCACCCTGTGTGTGTTCTGATGAAAGAGGGGCCTGGAGACAGAGTGGGCCAGTTTCCTCTGGGCAGGAATGCTGAAAACGGGTGCTTGAACCACTCCCTCATGCAGAAGGCTCTGGGCATCTAGCTTCTTTTTTAGACCTCCTGCTTCTCCATAAGCATCTTATTTCCTTTTCTATGTTTTTGCTTTTTTGAGCTAGGTTTTGCTGTGTATCCCAGGCTTGCTTTTAACTCACCGTGTAGCCTAGGCTGGCTAGGCAATCCTCCTGCTGTGGCCTCCTGAGTGCTGAGATCAGAGGCACACGTCACTATGCTCAACTTTGTTTTCTTTCATCGCCTGCTTTCCTCAGTGTGTGTGGGTCAAATAGTCATGCTGTTAAGTTGTTTTCTAACCCAGAGAAGTAGTTAATAGTTCTGTCCCTTTGTATTATCATTAAATAAGGAGCATCTCCATATTATTAAAATTACTTTAAATCTTGACTTCTAGATACTACATAACTTACCATGTGTGGTCACACTGTATAGAACTACATATAGTTTATATATAACATATACTATATATAA